GGGGAGGTGGGGGAGTCCCCATCCCTGGGTGTGTTTAACAAAGCCTGGATGTGTATCTCGATGCCACGGTTTAGTTGAGGTGTTGGGGCTGGGTTGGACTTGATGCTCTTTGAGGTCTCTTCCAACCTGGTGATTCCATGAATTCTGTGAATTCTGTGAATTCTGTGAATTCTGTGAATTCTGTAATTTCAAGTGTTGTCCCAGCTGCTCTGGATCCCACAGAGCAACTGAAGTCTTGCAGGATTTCGGGTTTTAGGATCATTCCAGTGCTCACTTCCCTTGGGAGCTCTGGGAATGCCAGAGTGACATTATTTGTCACTGGCACAGCTGTCCCAGAAGAGCTGTGGCTGATCCATCCCTGGGAATGTCCATGGCCAGGTTGGACAGGGCTTGGAGCACCCTGGGATAGAGGAAGGTCACCCTGCCCATGCAACCAGATGATCTTTAAGGTCCCTTCCCACCCAAACCATTCCATGATTTCTATAATCTCCTGCACTTAGGGATGTTTCTCCATGTGGGAAATACACACGGAGAGTGACTCATCCCCTAATTCCCATTATCCCACTCACACCCTGATGGGTTTCAATCAGAAGCCAAGGATCTCATTTATTTCCCAGCCAGGGGGAATGAAACCACACCTGGAAACAGAACAATTCCAATTCCACAGGTGCATCCAGGCACCTGGATTTGTGTGGTTTGATTAAATTCAGTGAACTCAGAACCATTCCAATTCCAGGGGAGCATCCAGGCACCTGGATCTGTGTGGTTTGATTAAATTCAGTGAACTCAGAACCATTCCAATTCCACAGGTGCATCCAGGCACCTGGATTTGTGTGGTTTGATTAAATTCCCTGAACTCAGAACCATTCCAATTCCACAGGTGCATCCAGGCACCTGGATTTGTGTGGTTTGATTAAATTCAGTGAACTCAGAACCGTTCCAATTCCACAGGAGCATCCAGACACCTGGATTTGTGTGGTTTGATTAAATTCAGTGAACTGAGAACCATTCCAATTCCACGGGAGCATCCAGGCACCTGGATTTGTGTGGTTTGATTAAATTCAGTGAACTCAGAACCGTTCCAATTCCAGGGGAGCATCCAGACACCTGGATTTGTGTGGTTTAATTAAATTCAGTGAACTCAGAACCATTCCAATTCCACGGGAGCATCCAGGCACCTGGATTTGTGTGGTTTGATTAAATTCACTGAACTCAGGCCTTTATTCCTGAATGTCCCTGAGAGCCCCTCCTGGGTGAGGGCTGATGGATCCAAACGCAGCTCCAGGGTTATCTTTAATTAAAAGATATTTAATTAAAATCTTTAATAAAACACTCTCTACAACGAGCCAAGGGATGGGAGACAAAACCCTCCTGGTCCCTTTGGAAATGTTATCCCGAGGGACGGACCTGTCTCTCCCTCTGGCCCCAACCCTCAGCGCCGGGATCTCTTTTCTCCTGCAGAACTGCAGTGGGAAGATGGAGGAATTCTTCCTCTTCGGAGCCTTCCTGGAGGCCACCATGATCGACAGGAAGATTGGGGACAAACCCATTAACTTTGAGGTCACCATAGGTTGGTTGTTATTTTTGGGGAGCGCGATGGTGGTGAAAATCAGAATCCAAAGCTGGGAGTGGGGTTTAAGTGGGGTTTATTCTTGGTTTTCCATTCCAACCCCTGCTAGAGCGGGTTTGGGGAGCAGGGAACGGCTCCTCCGTGGGCGTGAGGAATGTGGGATTTAATTCTGTGCCTGCTGGGCTGTGGCCAGTGGAGCTGATCCCTCTCTTCCATTCTGGTTTCATGCCCCGGACATGCCAGGGGATTCCCAGGGGATTGAGAGGGAACAGGAGCAGGGCATAGACACCTCTCCCTAATTTCCAGCTCCTGGATGTGTTTTCCTGCTCCAAGCTCAGGGCAAATAACACTCAGGAAACGTTATTTCTGTAGCCTGGAAACAGAAATCCCAGAACTCCAACGTTCTCTGAGATTCCAGCAGAGAAAACTTCTGCCAACCCGAATTCAGCCCCAGAGCTGGGAGTTATAATTTATTCCATCTTGGTTTTTCCTCCTCGAGGTAACTATGGCAACCAGGTGGATGGCTCCAGCAAACCTCTCCTGCGGAGGAAGAAAGAGGGAGGGGATGGGGACGAGGAGGAGTCGGAGCTGCTCCAGAATTCCAGTGAGGAGGAAGGTGGCGAGGATGGAGAGCTGGTTTCCGTTTCTTCATCCCAGCCCATGAAGCCTCTGGTCACGGACAGGTCAGTGTGTCCACCTGGGCAGTGGTCAGTGTGTCCACCTGGGCACAGACAGATCTCTGTGTCCACCTGGGTACTGGTCAGTGTGTCCACCTGGGCACTGGTCAGTGTGTCCACCTGGGCACAGACAGGTCACTGTGTCTACCTGAGTACGGACAGGTCAGTGTGTCCACCTGGATTTGTGTGGTCAGTGTGTCCACTTTGGTACTGGTCAGAGAGTCCACCTGGGCATGGAGTGGTCAGTGTGTCCACTTCGGCACTGGTCAGTGTGTCCATCTGGGCATGGACAGGTCAGTGTGTCCACCTGGGCACTGGTCAGTGTGTCCATCTGGGTATGGACAGGTCAGTGTGTCCACCTGGGCACTGGCCAGTGTGTCCACCTGGGCATGGACAGGTCAGTGTGTCCACCTGGGCACTGGTCAGCGTGTCCACCTGGATTTGTGTGGTCAGTGTGTCCACCTTGTGTGGCTCTTGGGGACCGTCCTGGTTTAGGGACATGGTTAATTGTGGCCTCGGCAGTGTTGAGATCCCAGATGGAAAAGCTGCTGGAAAAATCTGGAAATGCATCGGGCAGGGCAGGAAATGGGGATAAAAAGAAAAGGTCTCCCTGGAATTCCTTCCCTTCTTTCCATCAATATCCAGCACAGATGAATCTCCCTGGAATTCCTTTCCTTGTTTCCATCAATATCCAGCACTGAAAAGTCTCCCTGGAATTCCTTCCTTTGTTTCCATCAATATCCAGCACAGTTACACCCCTCTGGAATTCCTTCCTTCTTTCCATCAATATCCAGCACAGAAAAGTCTCCCAGGAATTTTTTCCCTTATTTCCATCAATATCCAGCACAGAAAAGCCTCCCTGGAATTCTTTCTCTTGTTTCCATCAATATTCAGCACAGATGAATCTCCCTGGAATTCCCTTTTTTGTTTCCATGAATATCCAGCACTGAAAAGTCTCCCTGGAATTCCTTTCCTTGTTTCCATGAATATCCAGCACTGAAAAGTTTCCCTGGAATTCCTTCCTTGTTTCCACCAATATCCAGCACAGTTACATCCCTCGGGTATTCCCTTCCTTGTTTCCATCAATATCCAGCACAGATAAATCCCTCTGGAATTCCTTTCCTTCTTTCCATCAATATCCAGCACTGAAAAGTCTCCCTGGAATTCCTTCCCTTGTTTCCATCCATATCCAGCACAGATAAATCCCTCTGGAATTCCTTCCTTTTTTCCATGAATATCCAGCACTGAAAAGTCTCCCTGGAATTCTTTCTCTTCTTTCCATCAATATCCACCACAGAAAAGTCTCTCTGGAATTCTTTCCCTTCTTTCCATCCATATCCAGCACAGATAAATCCCTCTGGAATTCCTTCCCTTCTTTCCATCAATATCCAGCACAGAAAAGCCTCCCTGGAATTCCTTCCCTTCTTTCCATCAATATCCAGCACAGATAAATCCCTCTGAAATTCTTTCTCTTGTTTCCATCAATATTCAGCACAGATGAATCTCCCTGGAATTCCTTCCTTTGTTTCCATCCATATCCAGCACAGCTACACCCCTCTGGAATTCCTTCCTTTTTTTCCATGAATATCCATCACGGAAAAGTCTCCCTGGAATTCTGGTTTGGGTGGGAAGGGTTCTCAAAGTTCACCCGGTTCCAACCCCGACACATCCCACTGCCCAGGATCGTTGGGTAGCAATTAGCACAGACTCCATGATTACAGAAGGCTGATTAATCTTTATTAAGAAACGGGTACGATACAGCTGGACTTAATTGGTCCTTTGATCAAACACCATCACCACGGCTAATTAAAAAACCGGAGCTGCCCCAGGGGCAGGTTTGGGGTGATTTTGGGAACTTCAGAGCAGAGTTATTCCATAGACAGAGATTTTGGGGTGATTTTGGGAACGTCAGAGCAGAGTTATTCCATAGACAGGGATTTTGGGGTGATTTTGGGGACCACACAGAGCAGAGCTGCTCCAGGGACAGATTTTGGGGTGATTTTGGGAACTTCAGAGCAGAGCAATTCCATGGACAGGGATTTTGGGGTGATTTTGGGAACTTCAGAGCAGAGTTATTCCATAGACAGAGATTTTGGGGTGATTTTGGGAACCACAGAGCAGAGCTATTCCATGGACAGAGATTTTGGGGTGATTTTGGGAACCACACAGAGCAGAGCTACTCCATGGACAGTGATTTTTGGGTGATTTTGGGAACTTCAGAGCAGAACTACCCCAGGGACAGGTTTGGGGTGATTTTGGGGACCCCTCAAGACAGAGCTGCCCCAGGGACAGGTTTGGGGTGATTTTGGGAACCTCACAGAGCAGAACTACCGCAGGAACAGAGGTTTGGGGTGATTTTAGGGACCCAACAAGGCAGAGCTTCCCCAGGGACAGAAGTTTGGGATGATTTTGGGACTTTCAGAGCAGAGCTGCCCCAGGGACAGAGGTTTGGGGTGATTTTGGGAACTTCAGAGCAGAGCTGCCCCAGGGACAGAGATTTTGGGATGACTTTGGGAACATCAGAGCAGAGCAATTACAGGGACAGGGATTTTGGGGTGATTTTGGGAACGTCAGAGCAGAGTTATTCCATAGACAGAGATTTTGGGGTGATTTTGGGAACGTCAGAGCAGAGTTATTCCAT